ACACACACACACACACACACACACACACACACACACACACACACACATGCTCTGTGGGTGGTGGGTGCTGCCACTCAGAATCCCCCAGAGCAGACCCTTCACCCACTTTCCTGCTTTGCCCCAGTCCTTCCATCTTCTCTGGATGAATCATGATGACATCATGTGCCTTCAGGCCCGTTGACTTCCTGCGCCTCATCTGCCAGTGTGATGGGATGACTAATCTGCACTGCGCTTGTGATGGTGGGGTGGTAAAAAATGACAGGCAAGGATAAATTAAAGCCATTTTATTATGGCACCAATAACAATAAAAGCCACTCCATTCATCATGTTGCCTGTGCATTCGTCTTAGCTGTCAATCTTTCTCTAATTTTAAGTCCATTCTTCTCCTCTCTGGCTTAGCACCTCTGCCCCTCCCCGACTCGTGTTCGGCTGAAACATTCCATCTGAAGCCTTGGGCTGTTTATCAGAGACTCAGGATTACCTGTGATTTAAAGGCGGAAAGGAGCTCACGTCTTAGGTGTAGCACTAAGGCCTTGAACGCTGTGCAGTTTGCCATCTAATAGCTTGGATACTATTGGATACCAAAGCTTTGATTCACTTGCAGTTGGTGACCAAAACAATATGAAATGCCTTAGGCAACATTTGTGCTTGAAGCTATAATTAGACAGCAGAAATTATAGCCAAAAGAAATGGAAATTTCCAAACTTATCAATTCTAGCCATTTATTAAAGGGAATGGCTGATGTTTCTACTGAAAATAATTTATACAAGTTAAATAGAGTCATTTACTGTTAAATTGATTTACCATAAAATAAGCATATTCAAAGATTATACTAAACTAAGAAACACTACTAAAGGATTTGGAAATAAATGAAGACTTGTAAGTCTGCAACTATTTGCCAACTAAATAACAAATACACAAGTTCTAATGTTCTGTCTGCCATTAGATTGTTTCAAATAGCAGGTGGTACAAGACACAAATATGGATGTATCCAAATGGTCTTCAGGATTCCATCCATAAAACATTTGTATAGTTAAACAAAACAACACAACGAAAATAATTTAGTATCGTAAAGTAAATGTAAAAATTGAGTTTTCTTTCCAGTTTTACTAAAGGAATCTATCTGAACACGTCTATGAAAAGTCCCAAGAATTAACTACTGTGTCAGGGTAAATAAGCCATCTTGATAGTAACAGACTTTGTTTTTAAATATTGTTTCTAAATATTGAGTTATCAACAAATCTGAAACATGTTAAGGGTAAGTGGAATTAGCCATTGCTGTGATGAAATAAAGCCCCACCCCCACCCCTAAAAGACAACTTTAGGAAGGAGGCCGTCTCCTCAGCCTGAGACTTTGGACCTCTGATCAGTACTGGGACTATTAAAGATAACAGTAAGGGGTTGCTGGAGAGCCAGCTCAGTGCTTAAGTTCACTGAATGCTCTTCCAGAGGACCTTGATTTGATTCACAGCACCAAGATGGAGGCTCACAACCATCTTTAACTCCAGTTCCAGAGGATCTGACGCCCTCTTCTGGCCTCCATGGACACTGCATGCATGTAGTGCACAGACATACATACATACAAAACATTTACACATAAAATAAAAACAAACAAAACCTGAAAAAAAAAAAAAGAACAATAGGGGACTTTTAAACTTGAAATGAATGTACTTTGTGCCTTGGACTGGCCATGTGTCTGTGGAAGCCATGGGTAGAATGCAGTTGGTTTCAAAGTAAGAGCTTCCCTCTTTGTCTCCTGTTCATGGTACTGTTTTGAGACGTTTTGGTCATGTTAAGAGGTTGAAGTGAGTTACTAGGGACAAGCCTCAAATCTGGATAGCCCAGTCCTATCCTTGTCCTTTCTCTGTTGCCTGACTGACTGCTGTTACTCTTCACCTGCTGTGATGGACTGTATCTCCTTGAATCGTAAACCAGAGTAACCCACCACCACCAGCAGCACCAGCACCAGCACCAGCACCACCACCACGCTGTTTCTGGTCAGGAATTTGATCACAGCAATGAGAAAAGCAACAATCTGCATACAGATCTTTAAAGGATACTTTCCATCAATAGTTTAGCCTAGTTGGGAACTAGATGTGAATTATTTTATAGGTTTCAGAGGAACTGTAGAAGGGAGAGTGGATTGGTTCATCATTCCCTCTGTGTTGAGGGTCTCCCTGGGAATTTACATATTGGACTCTTGATCTCCAAAGATACATTAATGATATTTGGTCTGTAGAGATCATTTGAATTAGATGGGGTTCCCATGAAGAGGATGGTGGCTCTATAAGAAAGCAAGTGCTGACTAGCTTGCTCTGTCTTGCCATGTGACAATCACCACAGGGTTGTACAGCAACAGGCCTGTGCCAGATGCTGGCTCCTTCCCATTGCACTTCCTGACAGATCTTTGACCTAAATAAAATTCCATTCTTATTGAGTTGTCTAGTTGGACATATTCGGTCATTACAGTAGAAAACAAAGGCAACCACACTAGCCAAAAGCCCCTCCCCCTAGTCCTCTCTGCCTGCCCCAGTCCCCAAGTCTGATACAAGAAGCCCCACCCCCTCTTTCTAGCCAGTGGCCTGTGGTCTCTGAAGTTCTACTGGACACAAAGTTCCCATGATGCTCATCGAGCTGGTGTGCTTTGCAGTGTCTGTTTCTTCTCTTCCTAGGCACTTCACCACTCTCCTGTTGTTCTCTTTGGCTTTTTGTCTGTGTTGTTCTCTCAGGTCTTACCTTCTGTGCCCATCTGAATGTCTCTATTGCTCTGGTCACCTTAGCTAACATGATAATACTCTTTGCTTTGTTACTTTAAAAACAAAACAGAGTTTATAGCCCAGGCTGGCCTTGACCTCCCAGTCATCCTTCTGCCTCAGCCTTCTAAGTACTAGATTATAAGCATAAGGACTGTGCCTCCTGGCAAAGAATTTTATTTTTAAAAAATCCACTAGCAGTCCACAGACACATAATTATGGTAAACGAACAAAGATTGGTTAAAATGCTTCATTAAGAAACAGGATTACTTCTCTTTACATTTTAGGGGTAAGAAGCATAAATGATGCAGCAAGAAAATTATTTCTAAATGATATTTATTATTATTAAGCTAATTAATGGGGAAATGGCCCAACAAATAAAACAGTTTTGAGCTGTTCCAACAATATTCTCCATAACTATTAAAATTTTGCTCTTGAAGACCAATCACAGAAAAATTACTTCAACAAGAATGAATAAAGAAGAGGTATGCCTCCATATAACATGATCTGACTACACAAACTACAACACATAGGAACCGTCAGTGGCATCTCTGTATTATATTATAGATAATTTTTTCTTTCATATAGTTTTTATTTCTTAAATTTTTACAATTAATATATATTACTCTGCAATCAAGAAAAATAGAGATAAAATAAACTATTGATTCTATAGCATTTGATTTCAAAATAAGTCCAGATGTATAAAGAATACCACAGCAAAAGCTGATCAATCATGAGGAAAACCATAGCACATGGCAAGATGGAGACTAACAGGGTGATGAGCTGTATACGGTGACCCTGTGTCAGCAAGGGTAGCTATGCCTGCTAGGACTGATTTCTCTTGCCTGATCTGGTATCGGCTTGTATAAGACCACTCAGGTGTAGCACAGAGACTTCCCAGTGAGAGTCAATAAGACTTAGGGTATTGGGTGTGGAAGGAGAAGACCTAATTAGCCCTTTCTACAGAAGTCAGTAGCATGGTGGGTGTAAAAGCTCAAAGAGGGACTACTTCAAAGAAGTACAGGACCTACAGAAGCACATAGTAGGTCTCACTGGCCATAAAGACATGCTCCCAGTGTGTTCACACTGGATTGCTGTCAGATCTACTAAGGAACTTGAACATCACTGCATCCGAGCACTGACAGCATATTCTGAAGAAGCCAACAGAGACGTTCTTTAGTTCGAGTGAGAGCTCATCTTTCTTCCTGTGAGAAAGGTCATTGCATTCATTCCAAGGTCTGTTCAAAGATAAAAGGATGTTCAATCAAATCACTCGGGTTGCTCATTTTTTAAAAAAAAAACTCTCCTTTCCTCACACTGCTGCAGTGCACTGGAGTGCGGGCTTCCGAATCCGAAGAGGTCAGCAGCTCAGGACTCACCTTGAGTTTTTGCAAACATTCATCAAAAGATTCTCCAACGTGCAGGCTCTGAAAAGAAAGTTAGTAAGCGAAAGCCCGCAAGGATCTGAGGTTTAGGGCACACCTCAAAAACATTCAGAAGAATACAAATGTCCATAATGTGCGTCCTAAGTGCATTTGTAAATTGATATTAGCAGCATTTGGTAGGAATGGTGCTTTTTAACGGGCTGTTCTGGCCTCGGGGCTCTTGGCCATCTTTATTAGATATTTTTCTACTTCGCCTTGTAAAACTGGATCAGGTAGAGCCCATGTGTGAAGAGGGCAATTGAGGGAGTGTGACTTCCAAAAAGATGTGAATTTAAAAACGGACACGGATAAACAAGTACCGAAAGTTGTTCCTCAAACTCCTGTCTGTCTGTCACTGTTATCACTATCGTAATCCTTGTCTTCTACACTGGGTATTGTAGAAACTATAGTGAGTATAGTCACTTAATTGCCACCCAAAGTGAGCAGAGTCAGATACCGTCCACCATGCAATATTTTATAATCACCAATACCTGTTTAAAACCTCTACCATCCATGACAAAAAGATTTTCTAGAAGCCAAATGTGTGTAATGCGGCTTCACAACGTGGAGAGGTACAAACAGCGGATGGCTGACGGCGTGTGCATCTTGATCCTAAAGCAAGTGGCCCGGCAGATGTTCGCTCTACTTGTAACTTCTCTTGCCTTTCTTGGAGTAATGAAAGATAAGACCGAGAGAAATAATAAAAGCAAAAACAAGAAACGAGATGAAGACCAGCAAAGACTTCCGGGTTTGAAAAAAGCCGCATTCGGTGCACACGGTGTATTCTTCTGGGCAAAACCTTCCCAGTGTTCCAGAACCCAGGAAGCCATTGTTGTCAATAATTTTCCTGTAATGTTTCATAGACGGTTTGGGCTCGAACTGACTCGCAGCATATCGATAAAAGCCAGACTTGGGAGCTGAGCGATCACTAAGTGAATATGCAAAGTAGCCACAAAGGTTGATGTTGTCCAACACATAGGCTAGAGAAAAACAAAGGGCAGGAGAGGGTTGATTGTAATATTTTATACACAACTCAGCCTTTTTATACAGTCTTGGCGGATAATGAAAAGCCTGGATACCATTCAATAACAGTTGAGACTCATCAGAGTCCACGAGGAAAGGTTTTCCACAAGAACAAATATGGGAATGCACAACACACGCAGTTAAGATGGCTGTGGGGACAGCTGCACCGTTCACACAGGCATGAGACGTCTGTCAATAGGTAAGAGGATAACAAAACTGTACATAAAGGAAGGCATGTGTACATGCCGGGAGTTTGTTCAAACATGAAGGATGAAAGGGTGCTGTCTGCAGGAAAATGGATCCAACCGAGACTCAGACAAGGATTGTACATTTTCTTTTACAGCTCATTGGTTACATACATACACACATAAACACACACCCGTGCCTGTGCACACTCACGAGGACATGAAATCAGTAATTATAGGATTATGAGTGCTGAGAAAGAGATCTAAATTGAGGAGGTTCGAGAACAAGAGAGGGTAAAGGAAAGAAAGGATCAAACGAGCAATTTCCTTATACATGCATAAACATATACACACATATACATACACACATATACATACACACATATACATACACACATACACACATATACACACATACACACATACACATACACACATACACATATACATACATACATACACACATATACACACATACACACATACACATACACGCATACACATATATATACACACATATACATACACATACATACACACACATATACATACACATACACATATACATATATATACACATATACATACACATATACACACATATACAAATGCACACTTACATATACACATATACATATATATACACATATACATACACATATATTCATACACACTACACATATACATACACATATACACATATGCACATACACATATATACAGATATACATATACGTGCATACACATATACTTACATACATACACACATATACACATACATATATACACATATACACACATACACATATACACACATACACATATCCATATACACATACATACATACATACATACACATGTGAGGCAAGAGGTGTTCTGGTATTCTGGATACTCTGGATGGTGTCCTTACAATAGACCTATGCCCTCTTCTGTGAATTTCCCACAGCCTTAGGTATAGAAGTTACATTGTAGATGTATCAATTGAGGTTTAGCACCCTGTGATCATCTGTCCTAGACATGATAGGAAAGCTGTACACATGAAGTCTGGCTCCTTAAACAAGACCTGCACAGTAACACCAGCAGTTGACATGCCAACACCAGTGGGAGAAATCTCACAAGGCCCCCCTCCTAAATGAAGAGCTACAGGCCATCAGTGCTGCTGAGAGAGACCCAGTCTTCTCAGGAGGCTAAGCTCTCTAAGAGGTTATCCAGCTCCAAGTGGAATATGCATGTACATACCAGCAACATTAAATGGAGTTGGTAGGGTTGTGTTGGGGGGGTGTTATGTGTGTGTGTATGTGTGGTATGTGTGTGTGTGTGTGTTGTGTGGTATGTGTGTGTAGTGTGTATAGTGTGTGTAGTGTGTATGTGTGTGTGGTATGAGTGTGGTGTGTGTGTTACGTGTGTGTGTGTTATACTGTGTTATGTGTATGTGTGGTATGTGTAGTATGTGTGGTATGTGTGTCTGTGTATGTGAATGTGTGGTATGT